CCACACAGTGGAGGGGACAGGCCAGTTTTGCTGTCTAGATATGCCCTGGGTCCTGCCACTCACCCACCTGGACTTATTCCACAGAAGGTGGTAGGAGCACTCTGTGGGAACAGGGTGTTGCGCTGTCGGTGGGGGGCTGGCTGTGGCATGAACAGAAGCCTGTGGGAACCACATACAGCATCCAGGGACCTAGCTCTGTTTACCCATGTGGCTTTGGCCAGCCCCTCCCTTCTGGACCTCCGTCAGCTCATCTGTATAAAATGAGAGGGTTGGGTCACTCCCGAGGAGGCTTGTCCTGCCTCTGATTCATTCCACACCCCCATCTCCATCAAACTGGTAGTCTCGCTCATGGTGCATTAACTTCACAGCAGTCTAACCAAAGTTTCTTAACTTGGGGTCCCAGGACCTCTTGGGACTTTTCGGCTCCATGAGTTCCTAGGAGTTGTGAGCAAATTGCATGTAAGTGTGTGTGTGTGTGTGTACTCTGTGTGCCCTTTCCAGGACAAGTGTGCATAGTATTCCACCACTGATTCATCTAAACTTTTTGCATTTCTTTAAATTTAATGTAAAAATTTTAGGAAAATGAGTCAAGAAAGTTAAGTTGGGGGCCAGGGATTTAGCTCAGTGGTGCAGCACCTGCCTGACATCTCAAGGTCCCGAGTTCAAAAATAAGAGAGAAAGAAAGTTGAGTCTTAATCCAAGAAAGCTGAGAGTAAAATTCTCTGCTTCTGTCTCAAGTCCCCCAGGCTTCCTGAAGGCTCTGCACTTGCTGCCAGCCCCCAAGCTTCCATATGGAGACCCCTGACACCGCTGCTTGCAGTTAATCTCTGCCTGGATGCTGTAGCTGCCCCTGCCCTGTCTTGTTCTTTCGAGTTCTCCTCAACCCATGTCCTCCCCTGGACAGCCCTGGCAAGGACAGGCAGGTCTTTCAGAAGGTAGGTGCAGTGACCACAAGGGCCAGCAGGGGTCGCAGGGCCTGTGGGGCACAGGTGGGTAAAATCTCGATTTGTTGGCTCCCTTGGTGGCCTGCGTATGAGGAATGGGTTGGCAGCAGTCTGAAGGCCTGTGTTCAATGTCTGGCCCTTCCCCTCTGAGAGCCTTAGTGGAGGGAAGTGGCAAAGAACCCCTGGATGGCTGCTAAGCAGCCTTCCAGCACTGACACTCTGTGGCCCTTTCTGATTGATGCTTCAGGGAGGGGACTGTCTTGTGCTCCCTTTGGCAGAAGGCCCTTTAGAGAATAGATGCCTCTGGACTTGACTGAAAAGGGTATAGGTCACTATCCACCCACTTAAGGGGGAAAAAGACCCCTGGGAAAAAAAGAAGGTTCTTAGGCACCAAGTTTGGGATAGTGGCACATGCCTGTAATTTCAGCACTCTGGGAGGCTGAGGCAGGAGGATGCAAGTTCCATCCCAGACTGGGCCACTTAGCAAGACCCCGTCTCAAAACCAAACCAAAACAAAAAGGACTAGGGATGCAGATCAGTGCAATGGCCCTGAGTTCAATTCTCGGTGCCACAAAAATTAATTAAATAAATAAATAAAATCAGGCACCTGGGATGGGGAGGGAACGGCTTCCCAGGAGTGACAGGACCCAGAGCCTGGGTGACAGGCAGCAGCCCTCTGGGTTAGGGCTTCTGCCTGTTTCTACAAAAGCCTGGGCAGGCCTGGTGAAAAGAGAGACAGCACCATCCTGCCCTGGGCTAGAGCAGGTCCCAGAGTCACACCTGAAGCCTGGACCACCTTCCTTGCTCAGGAGCTGGGGACCCTCCCGGCCCGGTTCTTCTTAACTGTCTCGCTCCAGCAGCTCCTTGTTCTATGCTCAGCTGGCACAGCAGGGCAAAGGCCCAGGGATGCTGGAGGGCGGGGATCCATGCAGACAAGGGGAGGGTGGGGGCTGGAGGACCACTCCAAGGAACAGGACCCCGTCTTCACAGGCCCAGAGACCCTCTTCCCTCCCACTGCCTCCCTCTTCACCCCAATCTCCTCCCACCCACAAATGACTAAGGAACAGGACACAGGCGTGACAATGGCGTAGAACTTTTTCTCAAAAATTGTAATGAGCCTGGGGGTGGGGTCGGTGTACCCTGGCAGGATTCAGAGCCTGGCCCCTCCACACATTGAGAAGTGGGGTTGGGGGAGAGCAGTAGCATCCGGGGCTCTTGGAGAAAGATAAGTCGGCACTTGGGGTGGCCCAGAGGCTCAGAGGCAGGGACAAGGGCTAGAGTGGCAGACAATGAGCCCTCAGTGTCCGGCAGTGGGAGGGGAACCTCTTCCTTCACACCTCCAGCTCTGGTCATACACACAGATGGGCCCCCCACTTGGACAGGCCAATGAGGTCTTTGGGGGCTCTTTCCCAGCTCCAGCCAAGGGGGCCCAGGAGGAGATAGGGGCAGTGGCCATCTCTCAGCAAGGGCTGCTTCCCAAGCTGGGGTCAGAGATGGGGGCCACTGCTAACACCTGTGTGGTGTGGATGTGCACACACAGGGTCCTGAAGGACTCCCTCCTCTCTGATCTTGTTTTGCCGGACCTGCTGGGCTGGCCTTTGCCACACAGAGCTGGCATACGGTGAGCTTCTGTGCTAACCACCATCCATAAACATCACACAGCAGCCCAGCCCTTCCAGGCCTTAAGAGAAACCCCAAATACACATACACACACACACACACACACACACACAGCCCGAGGGCCTGGGCACAGTCCACAATGCAGATTACCCACATCCTCAGCATCCCTCTCAGGGTCTGCCCACACCCACCCCAGACTGTGTCCAGCCCCTGCCTGTCCAGACCTGGAGATTCTGAGGCACTTGGCGGATGCCATTCTCCAGAGAGCTGTGCCCACCGGGCCTGGGGACCATAATACTGTGGCCGGAAGCTCTAGCACTGTGTGTCCAGTGCCCTGGCCCTCTGGGTCACTGGAGGGGCCAGGCTGCCCAGCAGAAGAGGGAATACAGCAGGAGGACAGGCCCCAGCTAAGCCTGCCTGGTCCTCCAGCTCCCACCATGGCCGGTGGCCTTCTCGTATGTAGGGACAGAGTGGGGGGTGATAGACAGGGTATTTGGCTGAAGAGTCTGGCTGGGAACCTCCTCTCTAGGGCTTATAGGAGGGGAGGCAGCCCAAACTCTTCCTTTCACATAAAAAGGAAGAAGCAAGTAAGTCTCTAGCCTGAGAGGATGGGCCCCTCCAAGGAGGACTGGGGAGGAGGGAGTGGGCAGACCATGCACCTGAGACAGGCCGTGTCCCCCAGCTCTGATGTCATCTAGTCCCTGGTGTGAGCAGCCCCGACCGGAGGCTGGCGTTGTACAGATCCACACGTGCTTCAGAGCCACTCAGATAGGGTGGCCCAGGGCTGCAGGACCCCTCGGAACTGGTGTTCTGGGATCCTCTGGTGCCCATCTGGACACCTCCAGGCCACACTCTCTGCTCTGGATGTGAGCAGGCTGAGGGAGACAACCCACTTGGTCCTTGCTCCTGGGGAAGAGAGCAGCAGGGCTGGCAACTGTGGGGACCTTGCAGGCCCATCATGGGTTGTGGCAACTTGCGATTCATTTTGGTCTTGGGAGAGGAACCCTGGATTATCTGTGGAGGAAGAGGCAGACAGAAGCAGGCCTTAGAAGACAGCCTTCAAAGGCATCATTTTCAACCAGGACCAGCCACTTTGATGACCCAGCCTCCCCAGTTGGGCAGGCTGATGATCAAGGACAGGGGACACTGACTTCCTGTTTCTCAAACCGTAAACCAGACTGCTTCCCCACACCCAGCACTGCCTGCTCCAGCCACGCAGAGTAAAGCCTGTAGATTCCAAGGGTGGTGGGGGCAGCAGTGGTTGGGCACATGGGATGTGGTAGGGGAGTGGAGGGGCAGGGACCAGCCAACAGGAAAACCAGTATGGTGGCAGCCTCAGGCAGCTGTGATGGCTTCTTCCTCTCCCCAGTACCAAGGATTGCGCCCAGGCTCCTCACCCTGAGGTACATCTCCAGTTCTCTTCATTTGTATTTTGAGACAGGGCCTCACCAAGTCACTAAAACTGCTCAGGCTGGGCTTGAACTTGTGATCCTCCCTCAGCCTTCCAATACTCCGAGATTACAGATGTGCCTGTGCCACCATGCCCAGCTTGTCTAACATCTGCCTTGTGCAGCGACGCAGTTGAGACCTACTGGTTGCCACACCCTCCGTCTGGCAGGAGTCACCTTGTCCCCAGACACAGGGAATGGTCTGTGTCTTCTACAGCCACACAGACCAGGGACCAAGGCTGGCTCCACACCAAGCAGTGGGCGGTCTGAGGTGAGTTATCTAATCCCTCAAACCTCCACTTGCTCATCCCTCCTACCACGGTGACCTGGTCACTGCACACAGGGGAGCAGTGCTTGCATAAGGACACGGCCCAGGACTTGAAAGGTGAAAGGACTCAAAAGCATCCTTGATTAGCCTACCATATTTCACAGACGCTAAAGACAATCATTTCCCCACGTTTTGATATCTCTAGAATGGAGGCACCTTTTACATCAGCTGTGATTTTAAAATCCTCCTGTCAGCCGCGTGTGATGGTGCACACCTGCTAATCTCAGCACTCTGAGAGGCTGAGGCAGGAGGATCGAAAGTTTGAGCCCAGTCCAGGTAATTTAGGAGAACCCTGTCTTGAAATAAAACGTTAAAGAAGGAGTTGCCGGGGGTTTAGCTCAGTGGTTCCACTGCCTGCCTCAAAAGTGCAATGTCCCAAGTTCGATCCCCGGTACCCCCCCAAAAAAGGAACTGAAGATGTAGTTCAGAGAGAAGGCCCTGAGCTCAATCCCAGGACTGCAAAAATAAATAAATAGCCTCCCGCCATCATTAAGTTGGCAGCTTCTTGTAAACTGATGATACATCCAACAGTGAGGCTTCTTGTAATTAATGGCAGCTCAGATTTTATGAAATACAAACGAGGCCCCTCCCACCCCTGAAGAGGCGGACTCCTCCCTTTCCCGGGGACCTTCCAACATGCACCCCTCCCCTGCTGGCCACTCACAGCTCCGTGTCCTCCAGGGCAGGCGGGCGCTCCAGAGCCTGCCTCCGCCTCCGCAAGGCCCCCATGATCTTCTTGCGGGGCCCCAGAGGGACGCTGATGCCGCGCAGGTCGAGGTCTGAGCACAGCATCAGCGCCTCCAGGTCGATCTTCTCCTGCCGCAGGAGGGAGGCAAAGTCCTCCATGTGCAGCGAGGCCAGGAAGGTCTCCAGCGGGCTCGTCTCGGGCTCCAGGTCCTCATCCAGGCCCAAGTCCAGCTCGTCCCAGGGCAGTTCCTCCCCGCAGCTGCGGTCCTGCAGGCTGTTGGCACTGCCCAGGCTGTCGTCGTCCAGGCTGGGGGAGCTCTGCAGCCGACCCCGAGGCGTACCTGTCCCGTCCAGGGCCCCGTCCTCGCGGCCCAGCCCGTGCAGGCCGCTGCTTAAGTAGTTCCTGCGGAACACCATGGTGCCCAGGCCGGGGCGGGTAAACAGGGAGTCGTGGCCTGAGTCGGTGCTGACCTCCGAGTGGGCAGGCTCGGCCGCCAGCGTGGCACGGGAGACGCTGTCCTCGTCCGAGAGGAACATGTCCCGGAGTGGGGCGCGGCCCCACTCCTTGGGGTTGGCGTAGGTGCCTGGGCGCACGAACATCACGTCGCTGCCCAGCTGCAGGCCGGAGAGCGAGCGAACGCTCTTGCGCCCATCCTCCGAGACCTTGAAGGTGCCCTCAACGCCCTGCTTGCGCCGCTCCAGCTTCTTCTGGATCTTGGTCTTGCCCCGAGCGGTGCCATGCAGCGTGGCCTGCGAGTAGCGCAGTTGGCTGCCCAGCGCCAGGTGCTGCAGCCGGCGGCTCAGGGTGCGCCCAGCTGCAGGCCGGAGAGCGAGCGAACGCTCTTGCGCCCATCCTCCGAGACCTTGAAGGTGCCCTCAACGCCCTGCTTGCGCCGCTCCAGCTTCTTCTGGATCTTGGTCTTGCCCCGAGCGGTGCCATGCAGCGTGGCCTGCGAGTAGCGCAGTTGGCTGCCCAGCGCCAGGTGCTGCAGCCGGCGGCTCAGGGTGCAGGGTAATCTTGGCGCACTCCCGGACGCGCCGCTCCGCCTCGCGGAAGGCCTTGTCCTTCAGCTTGCCCACCAGCTTGGGGTTGAGGCTGCTCTGCTTGGCCGCGATGGAGTCCAGGTAGCGCACGCACTCCATGTGGCCCTTCATGGCGGCCATGTCCAGCGGCGTGTGGTAGTCGTTGTCCAGGCACCAGATGTTGGCCCCGAAGGACACCAGGAAGGACAGGCAGTGCAAGTGGCCATTGGCAGCTGCCAGATGCAGGGGTGTGTTGCCCCAGATGTCGCACTTGTCTGGGTCACCCCTGCAGGGAGGAACAATGGGAGATCTTAGCAAGCCCCAGTAGGCCGAGGTCTGCCCTGCCGCGTAGGGTTCCCACCCTTGTTGAGCTTCCCCATGCGATCACTAGGCCAGCGAAATCCTTGGGACAGAGATTTCTCCTTTGACTCCAGGGGATCTGCGAACAGAGCCCAGGAGAGAAACACCCCAGCGACTAGGGGCGGGGCGACCAAGAAGGCGGAGCCCAGTGCCACCCCCCCAACCGAGGAGGGCTGGGAATCTCAGGGGATAAATATTTGATGCTCTGAGAGAACGGAGTGAATTATTCATGGGCCCAGCGGAGAGCTGGCCCAGAGAGGTGGGGGGCCAGGGAGAGTCTGGGTCTCTAGGCAGGTGCGGTGAGTGTGTCCACGCGTAGCAGGGTGATCAGGAAAGAGGACCAGAGGGCGGTTTGTGCTGGGCCTGAGCCTGGGTGAGCAAGTAAGGGTGCGCTGGTGTGAGGCTGCTGCCTTGTCTGCGGGGAGCAGGGCCAGGCCTGGCAACGCCAGTGTTAGAGCAGGTGTCGGGTCTTGGCCTGGGCCAGGAGGGGACTGTGGGGTCAGCCAGGCAGCCAGGACAGGAGGGGAGGAGGAGGGAGCTGCGGGCCTGGCTGGGCTGCAGGCTGCCCCATCTTTGGGGGGTCCTGTAGGCAGGCTGTCTCCCCTAACACACCCCTAGCCCAATGAAGCCCCCTGGGGCAGCTTCCACTGCTCCTCTGAGTTCTTGCCTTCCTCTGGCACCTAGCACAGGGACCCAGCCTGACACTAATGAGGTCACAAGGCCACCCCAGGGCTGGAGGAAGAAGAATCACTCCCTTGTCTCAACATCTCCCCACACTCCCCCGCAGCTTCCCCTGTTGGTTGTCAAGTCCAGCAGGGCAGTGTGGAGAGGAGCCACTCTGCCCCAGACCCACAATCATACAGCATAAATCCTTGCCTCTGTAGGACTTGGGGATGGCGCACCAAGGGGAAACTTTCAGAGGCTCCCATGGGTGCAGTGTCACTGTGTGCCCTCCTGGAGTGAGGAGAAGCCAGTCAGCCTTGGCCTGGTGGAACATGTCTGGGCTTCTAACCTTAGGGGCTGATTGAGTTGTCACAAGGGAGGGGAAGGGGCTTCCCCCACCCACCACCTGCTCAAAGCTACAGGCTAGTGCCCAGCACCAGGGCCAACTCCATCCCTGCTCCTCTCTCCCTGTGCCAGAGGATGTCACATTAACTCTCCTGAGTGCCCCTTCTCCTGTCCAGGCCACCTTGGTATTCACCCATCTGGGTGTTCAGCCCAAGCCAACTTCTCTTATCAAACTGTTGCCAGGTGACAAGGTTGTTCCCAGTAGTGTGACTGATCCCAGCTCTACCCTAGACCCCAATTCTGTGGCCCTGGCCCCTGTATTCCTCAACCACTGCCCCCAAGCCCTTTTCCTGGTCCTGACCCCTGGACTCTGTGCCCGCTCTTCTGGGAGGACAACGCCAGAGGGAGGATGGGGGACAGGAGCCCCTTCAAAAGCAGGCCTGTCACCATCTTGCCTTGGGTCGGCTGTGGGGAGGGACACGGAGAGAGTTAGCAGGGTGCTGAACCAGTGACATTTGGTACTGTGGACAGTGCCCATAAATCCCAGGAATATGCAGGGCAAGGAGGCAGAGCGCTGTGAGACCCAGCCTGTGGGCTGTGGGTTCAGGCTGGGAGTCCTCTGGCCATCAGGCTGGGGAGTGGGCAGGGGAGCTGCCTCTGGCCTGCCCCACCTCCACTTCTGGGCTCTCAGGCTTCCCAACCTTACCTCTGGTTCCCACTTCCCCCTCACCTCACTTCCAGATGCCCCACCCAGAAGACTCTCCCACCTTCCCCCACTCTGTAGCACCCGTCCTGACCATCTTGGACCCTCAAATCCCAGTTTGTCCCCTCCTAACCCCGCATCCAGGTCACCAGTATCACATGCCTCCCTTTATGTTCCCATCCACGTGTGTCTGCCCGACCAACGCCAAGGTCCCACCTTAGAGTCTGTTCGCAGGGAAGAGGGCAGCACCGAGGAGCGGGTAAGGATGCCATGGGGTTGGGGGCATCTCAGGGCCCGGCACCCTAGCCTCCTCCCCCTCCCCTGCTGGCTGGGCGAAGGGTACTCACCCGCGGCTCACGATGAGGCGCAGAGACTCCAGGTTGCCATGGTAGGCAGCCCAGAGCGTGGGGGTCATGCCGTCCTCGTCGGGGGCATTCAGCTCCTTCCGGGTGGCCTCCTTGAGGAGCTCCAGGTAGCCATCCCGGGCGGCCCGGTGGTACTGATCGTTCATGGCGCCCGACTTGGACGGGGCGGGCAGGGGGCGCAGGGAAATGCCCTCCGCGAGGGAGGGCAGCGGGGTTAAGGCTGAGGCATGGGGCTGGGATAGGGGACCGGGCAGGGGCAGCCAGCCCCCAGCTACCGCAGATGGAGGGTGTGGAGCGCCAGAGCCGCGCGGTTACCGGGA